TTATCAATACTTTTTGGTAGGCTTGAAAAATTATTTCATAACACACCTAAATTACAACTCCTAAGCAATCTATTACTGAATACTTAGGAAATCTCCAAATGAGACAAATGCAGGAGAGAACATAAACTTTGAGGTCTTCTACTTTTAAGTCTATTTTTTTGTAAAATGCTAAGAATAAATCTTTGCTAACGTACACAAGCACGTTCTAACAGCAGCCTTACCGTGGAGACAGCATGGTTTCACAACAGCATGCCACATCTCAGCGGTGTCCTGGAGTTGGGGGCGTGGGGAGAAACAATCACACACTCTGTGAAGCTTCACGGTGAGCCTTTTCACATCATGGCAAATCAAAACCAATGGCCACTGAGTCAACTCGGCCTCGCAGCCGCCTTGTAGGGCAGAGGAGAAACGCCCCGTGGCTTCCAAGGCGGCAAATCCGTCTGAACCCAGACAGCCGCATCCTCTCTCACAGAATGGCTGGTAGTTTGGAAGGCCTCTCCTTCAGCTAGCGGCCAGTGTGCTGGACAGCTCCTCCGCATGTTGGCACACGCAGAGCAAGGCAAGTGAGGCTCACAGTCCTTGCCGCCCCTGGTCTCGGGTCAGTTTCTTCCGGAGATCCCTGGCACAGTTAAGGAAGCTGTGCAAGAGACAGTGGTGAAGATAGCGTCTCTCAGAGAAAGGTGCCAAAAAGCCTGTTGTTATGAACCGTCAGGCCAAATGAACTCACAGGAACCCTCCAGCAGGTCTGCAGAGGCAGAAATCGTGTGGAAGATTACTCAACGTTCTCTCATAAAGAAGCTGGTGGATTTGAACTGAGTACCTTTAAATCGGCAGTGCAACTCCTTACCACTAGGCCATGGTTCTAGGAACCAACAACCCTGGGAGAGCTAGGATTTGAAAAGGGCTGGAAACACGAGATCCAGAGGTGGTGGTTGCTGTTGTTGCTGTTGTTGGTAGGTGCCGTCAAGTCAAGTACGACTCATAGCAACCCTACAAGCACCAGCTCGGAGCCCTGTCCCACCCTGTGCCGGCCGCACCACTGCTGACATACTTGAGTCCACTCCAGCAGGCACTGTGTCCGTCCATCTCACAAGGGGCTTCCTCTCTTTCGTCGACCCTTCACCTTTCCAAGCCTGATGGCCTTCTCCAGGGAATAGCCTCTCCTCACAACATGCTCAAAGTACGCGAGACAAACCTTTCATCGTCTTTGCCTCCAACGAGCACTCTGGGTGCACCTTCTCCATGACAGATCTGCCTGTTCCTTTGGCCGTCTGTGGGATATCCGCTGCTCTTCTCCAACACCACAGCTCAGAAGAATCAATTTTCCCCCAGGCATCATTATTCACCTGATCGGGCTTGTCGCCCACTCACAAACATCTGCCCACTTTAACAAGGACTGTCCAAAGCAACTGTGCAATGCCTGGAACGTTCCAGACCTGTGCTGTCCGACACGGCAGCCGCCAATCACATTGGGTAATGGAGCACTGACAGGTAACAAAGGTGCTGACTTTTTGTGTTTTACTTCACTTTAATTTTACTTTCATGAACTCCAAGTGGCCAGGAGATGCTATTTTGGAGAGCACAGTTCTAGTCTGGCCGCCATAACACAAGGACCAAAGAATTCAATGTCAAATTTTAAAACAGAAGGAGGGACTTCCTGGCCAGCGCGCGTCAGTATCAGGCCCTGCAGCTCAGGTTATGCGCACTGACGGCCTCCTGCCCCCACCACGCTCTCAAGCGGCTAAGACCCCGCCCCAAGAAGCGAACAGTCTCCCCCCTTCACCTCACTAGTAAAGGAGAGGCAATATGGGGGTGAGTCAACAGAACCAGCATCACTTAGACGAAAGGGTCTTTGCTGGACCCAAGAAGAACACCACTAAAAGGCAGGCTGTCCCTCCCACTCTGTCTGTCACATCCTTTCCAGCACTGACGCAAGGTGACACTTCAAGTCTCCATCTCCTGCTTTGTAAAATGGGCTAGAAACGGTCTTCCCTCACTGGGCTGTGAAGATTAGAAGACAGAAGGCCTATAAAGCAGGAGAAGAGCACTGAGCACGAGAGACACATTTTATAAGGCTTCCCTGTCACGATTACACGAGCATCATCGTTATCCTGTTCCTCCACACAGTATGGAGAAATTGACACAGAACAAATCGTATTTTAGAACAAATTCTAATGTTAAATTCTTTACTATTTCGTTTCAAATGCTTCTGGGTTTCTTTTCCTTCCAGCTCTTACAGTCTTGCTGTTTACCATATTTTGACAAACTACTTGCATCCATTGGGGGTGGTTTGGGTTTTTTTTTTTCAAACTGTGCAGCCCTCTTGCACATTAGCATCCTCAGAGCACTGTGAACGGGCATCTGTATGTGTGAGAGAGACAGACAGACAGACAGAGATGTGTATATTATATGAACAGGTGTGTGTGTGACAGAGACACAAACAGGCAGCGATGTGCATATTATATGAACGGGCATGGGCATAGGGGTGTGTGTGTATGTGTGTGTGTGACAGAGAGACAGAGACAGAGACGTGGGAAACTGCAATGTCAGGTTACGTCTACCTGAACATTCTAAGCTATCTGAGCAATTTTCTCCCCAATCTTTGAATCCTCCCCGAAATATCTTTAGCCATTATCTGTACATAGCAGACATTTAATAAGTATTTCCTGAAGGGTACTTCGAATGTGTGTTAAAATTACAAATCATGTTGGTTTTTCATTCAATCATTCATAGACATTGTTTTCCAACATTAATTATCAGACTGAAGTAATTAATTATAACCTCTAATGAACACTTTTTTTATGACCTGACCCTTCACTGAACTTATCTACATATTAATTGCATTTCCCCACTTCCCATCCCTGTTAGCCCTCCAAGACTACCTGAGTTATATTTATAAACTTTATTTCAAAATTATCAAAGCTATGTATTTTTAAAATGAATAATGGAATTTAAATGTAATTCATTCAACAACTAAGCACCCACCAGGAACCAGGCACTATGCTAGGAGCTGGGGATTCAGGTAGCTGAACAAGCTGACAAAGTCCCAGGAGCTTTTTCTCTGGGTGGAAATTGGAGTCGTGGTGGTGGGAGAGAGAGTGGGAGAGGAGGATGTGGGGAAAGGTATGCAGAGTCCAGGCAGGTGTGCCAAGAGAGCTAAGGGTTAATTAATAGTCCAGCACCGATTCTATGACTCTGATTGGCGTGAAATGGTTATATTTTCTAGGAGACGGCAGGGCCACTGTTTGCAGGGCCCAGAGTAGAGGAACAAGGTGACATCAGGGGTGTACCACGAGGCTCCTGCAGCAGAGACGATGGCCCACTGGAGTGGAGATGGCCCAGCAGGAACCAACGGAACGGGCAGGCATCAGAGATAGAAGCGACGAAGTGATGCTGACATGAGGTAAGGAGTGAGGGGGGAGGTAAACAAGGCTGAATCACGGATTTGGGACTTGACCGCCCCAGCCACTGACTCAGAAAGATGGGGAGAAAGAAGAGCTCTTGTTTAAAAACCTTTATTTCATCTGTTAGGTTTGAGATTATGAAGTGGATTTCAAGCAGGCAGATGTCTATCAGAGTCTGGATGTTGTAGAAACATAAGACACACAAAATCTGGTATCTAAGCTGAAAGAAGCAGAACAGCTGGATGAAAAGGCCTAGGGTGGATCAGAAAGGGAGACAAGATTGTAAGGCTAAAAACCAAGAATGCACCTCGGTCCAAGCTGTTAGGAAAGAGGCACCGGTCACTCACCACTGAAGATGAATCAACTGTGAACCTTTCTTTACTCTCCACTAAATGAGAATCGCACAGCAAGAAGGGGCCCTTACCCTTGGTACCCTGTACTCACTCACAATCACGAATCTAAACATATCACTACCAACCCAAAGGCACACAGTTCAGATCCCCCAGTGGCTCCAAGGCGACAGATGGGCAACCTCTTCCCACATGATTTACAGCCTCTGAAAATCCGCCGGAGGACCAACAATGAGTCAGCTCTGACTCAATGGCACACAACAACAAAATAGTCAAGAGTCACAGCAAGAATCTCTAGTGGTGCAGTGCATTACACGGTAAGCTGCTCTCGAAAAGATTAGCAGTTCAAATCCACCAGCCGTGCACTGGAGAAAGATGGGCAGTCAGTCTCCTGCAATACAGATTCCCAGTCTCAGGAACCTACCTGAGTCGGAACAGACTTGACAGCAGTGGATGAGAGGGTCACAACCACCGCAAGCGCAGCACAGAGGTCAGGGCCTCGTCCTTCTCAGTGGATTTCATGAGCCAGACAGACCGTCCAACACTCCTTCCCACTAAACACAGAATAATCCCCCTTGACCTGAGATTAATCATACTGGTCATTTTCTCACTGCCATTTCACCAAAAGAACAAGAACAGCGCTTGGCACAGAGCTGATGCCCAGTAAATCCTGAAGAGATGGACAGGGGAGGGGTGGGGAAGGGATGAAAACAGTACCAGTTTTCTTATCTCTTAAAAGTAGGATCCACAGATAAAATTAGGCTTACGAATTCTCCAGAGGTTTCATTTTGCAGCATTTTCCTTGATAATTAAGACTGACTTGTGTAAGATTGGAAGAAAACAATTGGGGAGGAAAAAGTCATTTGAAACATTTCACAGTTTGGAAACAATAAATCCGTTTTTCCGAAGATCAATGTTTTTTATAAATATTTACTTCTAAAGTGTAATGCGTTTATAAGCAACCTACTTTACAGCCAAGTACAACACTGCCTTCCAAAGCCTGCCAGAGGCTACATGGATGAAAAAACAAAATTTCAAGAGACTGTTCGAAAGGTGATTCCTTTTTTTAGTGCAAAATATTTTAAGAAATGCTCTGGTGCTGATTTCAGACTGTTCTTATAAAAATATGCCAACATCAAAAATAAATAACAAAAGGTGGAAATGGAAGAGGAATGTAGCAACAGCGTGGGCTTTTAGCATGTATCATCTTACTCTTAAAAATCCTCAAACTGCGTTTCTCAAGTACCTGAGGCGCCATAACCACCAGAATACCGTGGAGACTTGGAACCGGGCGGGGAGGCCTCCTTCATCCGATCGATCACATTTTCAGAAAGCTGAAAGAGCAACATCAAAATAAAATCAATTACAAAAGAACGAGGGGGAAAAACATGCACAATAACATCCCAGTAATTTAGTCATCCGCATCAATAATGTATAATGAACGGCCTAAAGTAATGAGGCTGAATCTAAAAGCCATAAAACTGGAAACCAGGAAACTCTGTTTTAAGGTTTCAAGATGCACCCCGCAGCATCACTCCTTTATCCCTTGTAATACACTGTTAATTGTTCATTATAAATAACTGCCTCGCATTGTACTGCGCATAAATCGTAATCGCTGAGAAACCGGTGAGCCGTCAGAACTCCTTCAATTTTCCTCCCTCATCCCACAATCTGATTGATGGATGCAACTGTTCTTGGTTCCTTCCCACCAATCCCAAAGGCTCATTTCTCCTTCCTTCCAGTGCAGAGCTAACCACAGACCATCCCTCATCCACCAGCATCTGGGGCAGGCACCAAGCCGTGGCTGGTAGCTGGCACAGTGCCGTCGTTACTGCTCAGTGCTTTCCAACCGAGGGATTCACTCTCCCACACAGCATCAGAGAGGGTTCTCCTTGTGGTCCGTGGTGCTGTTCATGAACCAGATTTCAGCACAAGATCGCCAGACCTCTTCCTAGATCTCTTCCCAGTCTGCCTTAGTCTGGAAGCTCCACCAAAACCTGTCCATAGACGTGACCCACTGGTATCTGAAATATGAGTAGCACCGTTTCTAGAATCATAGTAACAAGCAAGCCTCCACAGAACCACGAACTGACAAGCCACGCTGCTGACTGGATGTCCTTCCTCGTATGTCTGCTGGTGGCCTGCCCTGTCACCTCTACCTTACCCTGGTCCTCTCTCCCTGTACACAATTTTTCAACAAATTTCTTGTTGTCTTCTATTTTCTAGTATTTTTACATATCCACTTTTACAATATGTGGCTTCAGGATTGGTGGAACAGTCATCAAGAACTTGTGTTATGCAGATGAAACAACCCTGCTTGCTGAAAGTGAAGAGACCTGAAGCGCTTGCTATAGAAGGTCAAGGATTACAGCCTCCTATATGGATTGAAGCTCAACATCAAGAAAACAAAGATTCTCACCACTGAGCCAATTGGCAGCATCAATATGGATGGTGAAGAGATTGAGATAACAGTTTTCGTTTACTTGGCTCCACAGTCAACACTCTTGGTAACAGCAGCCAGGAAATCAAGAGACAAATTGCATTGGGAAAGTCAGCTGTGAGGGACCTCTCAAGAATACTGAAGAGTAACAACGTCAGGCTGGAGACTAAGGTGCACCTGATCCAGGCTATAGTCTTTGCAATTATGTGCTATGGGTCAGAGAGTTGAACAGTGAATAGGGATGATAGAGAATTGATGCCTTTGAGTTGTGGTGCTGGAGAAGAGTGTTGAATATACCATGGACTGCTAGGAGAACAAACAGGTTTGTCCTGGAGAGGGTGAAGCTGGAAAGCTCCTTGGAGGCAAGGATTCTGAAGCTTCATCTGACATACTTTGGGCATGTTGCAAGGAGGGACTGGTCCTTGGGGAGGTACATCATGTTTTGGAGAGTGGAGGGACGGCGCAGGAGAGGAAGACCTTCAATGAGATGGATCGATTCTGTGACTGGAGTGGTAGGAATGAGTGCATTTGAGATGGCTAGGTTGGCACAGAATAGAACAGAGTTTAAAGCTCTTATGTACATAGGGTCGCTATGAGTCGCAAGGGACTCGATGGCACATAACAACAACAACAACTATCTTCACATCCACTAACATCTTATGGTTACTCCCTGGTGTTAACTCGTCAATGCTGTTGTTGTTGTGTGCTGTCACATAGACTATGAACAACAGCTCTGAACTCTGCCTTATCCTGAGCCAACTTCACCGTCTCTGACATACTGACCTCACTGCCATAGTCACTGTATCAAGCCATCTCATCCAGGGTCTTCCTTTCTGCACTGACCCTCTACCCTTCCAAGGACAATGTCCTTCTCCAAGGACTAGTCCCTCCTAGCAGCATGCCCAAAGTATGTGAGATGGAGTTTCAAAATCCTTGCCTCTAAGGAGCACTGTGGTTTCACCCTCTCCAAGATAAACCTTTGTGTTGCCTTGGCGGTCCATGTTCAGTACTCTTCTCCAGAAATACAACTCAAAGACATCACTTCTTTTGCTGTCACTCTTGTCTATTATCATACACAATGCAAAAATATCTTTCTAATATCACACACAAGCAAAATCCTGCTGAAGATTATCCAAAAATAACTGGAATAATACATTAATAGAGAACTACCAGAAATACAAGCTGGATTTAGACGAGGACTTGGCACCAATGACAGATGGATCCTGGCTGAAAGTAAAAAGTACCAGAGGAATTTCTATCTGTACTTCATCAACTATGCAAAGCTATTTTACTGTGCGGATCACAACAAACTGTGGCTAACCTTGAGAAAAATGAGAATCCCAGACCACTTGATTGTGCTCATAAGAAACCTATATTTGGACCAGGAAGTAGTCATTAGAACAGAGCAAGGAAACACTGCATGGTTCAAAATTAGGAATGGAGTATGTCAGGGTTATGTCCTGTTTCCATACCTTTATAATCTATATGCAGAACAGATCATTTGACTTTATGAGAAGGAGTGTGGCATCAGAACTAGAGGAAGACTCTTCAACAACTTGTGTTACATGGATGATACAACCTTGCTTTCCAAAACTGAGGAGGACCTGAAGCATTTACTGCAGAAGTTCAAAAACTGCAGTCTTCAATATGGATTGAAGCTCAGCATCAAGAAGACAAAGATTCCCCCACTGGGCCAAATGGCAGCACCATGATGGTTAGAGAAAAGATTGAGGTTGTTTAACAACCTCCGCTTACTCCGCTCTACAATTAACACTCTCGGCATCGGCAGTCAGGAAATCAAAAGACAAATTGCACTGGGGAAATCTGCTGTCAGGGATCTCCCCAGAGTGAAGAGTTATGATGTCAGTCTAGAGACTAAGGTGCACCTGGTCCAGGCCATCATCCTGGCAATTACATGCTCTGCTTCAGAGAGTTGGACAAGGACTAAGGATGACAAAAGAATTGATGCCTCTGAGTTGTGGTGCTGGCGAAGAGTACTGAACATACCATGGACTGTGAGGAGAATAAACAGGTCTGTCTTGGAGAGGGTGAAATCAACATTGCCTTTGGAGGCAAGGATTCTGAAGCTCTCTCTCACATACTTTGGGCATGTGGCCAGGAGGGATCAGTCCTTGGAGAAGGACGTCATGCTTCGAAGAGTGGAGAGTCAGGGCAGGGGAGGAAGGACCCAGATTGACACAACAACTGAGGCAATGGGATTAAGTGTATTGGGGTCAGTGAGACTGGCTCAGGGTAGTGCAGGGTTCAGAGCTGCTGTTCACAGGATTGCTATGAGTCAGAGGCAACTTGATGGCAACCATAACAAAATCAAAACATCAGTATGTCTGCTAAAAATCGGTTTTAGCTCCTCATCCTCACCTGGACTGGCCACTATTTCTTCTAAGTATCACTTCATTCATTTATCAAAATTCACACCATGCCATGATCTTTTGAAATGACTAGTACCAAAAGTTCTTCTGACTGATCCCAAAAGCAGCCTGAGCAAGGGAAGTAAAACCGTGACCCACAAGAAAGGAAAAAGCACTGGCCACTTCCAATTACACAGCCCAGGGGTGGTCAGCGACCTCACTGGGCCCAGGTGGTCCTCTGACATATGAAGTAACACCTACCCCCTCAGGCTACGGGGGACTAAAAGGGCACAGCAACACTCCAAAAATGTATGATGGTGACCACCGCACAGCCCCAGTTAAGGGCACCTGGGACGACTCTGCTCTCACGCTGGTTCACTCTCATCAGCTCAGCCTGAATGCACACCGCGCTCCCCCCCACACACACACACAGCCTGTGGGGACCAGGACGAGAGCCACTGCAGAGGCCACCGCAGAGGCCGCTGTGTAAACCTTGGCTGGACCGTGTGACTTGCTCTGCCATCCCTCTCTGCAGCTCTGGGTATAAAAGTGAACATCACTTTCAAATTAATACTGTTTCTTATTAATGGGGGGGGTGCTTCTCTGATGCCTCGAGATGAGCTACTTAATGTCCAATTCTATAAATTAAAAGCATTTCCCTGTGTGGTCTTTGGTTAAATTCCAGTAAATCTGTAAGCAAGCCTCCAAGGAGCACGCTTCACCTTCTGAGCTGATAAATACACTGTGGGGTTGCCTTGCCAGAGTCAGCTGCCCTCCTCCTTCAGAATCCTGCAACCAGTGCCTCAGTGGACCCTCCGAGGGACCCACCCCCAGCGGCCACAGCTGTAACTCCCATTCCAGAGCACAGTCTGCCCACCTCAGTCCACTCGCAGCTATGCCGCCCACAGGAGGCCACAGCCCTGTGTTCAGGAGACCTTCCTCTCTGCAGGCGACCGCCTCGGAGCTGCACTGACCTCGGCGGGCAGCAGCGCGCACAGACCGGGGCCTGTCTGGAGCTCCGAGAACTGGGTATTCGACTGTAAAGCAGCCGACACGCTACTGAAGGAGAAAGAAGTTCATTCCAGAAGTAGTTACTTCTAAAGCCAGGATATGTCCAGCTGTTGCAAGAACTCCCACAGCAGCTTTGGCTCCTGTATGGTCGATGTGAGTTACAAAGAAGAGCTGCTGTCCAGCTCCGGCTGTGTGTCCAGCCTGGGTCACCGAATCCAGCAGGCTGCTTCTTGAGGGCGGACCCAGTTCGCAAAGGAGCACACACCCGTGTGGACTCTGCCAATGGAGCTCAGCTTCCACGCGGCTTCAGCTGGAAAGGGTAGGGAGCCCTGGTGGCCTAGTGGTAAGAAGCTACTCTGCCAACCCAAAGGCAAGCAGTTCGATCCATCAGTAGTCACTTCGCAGGAGAAAGATGAGCAATCTCCTCTCTTGTGATTTTATTGCCTCTGAAACCTGCTGGCGGGTCAGCTATCATCCAGCTAGACAGTATATTTTTATATTTCTATTTCTACTT